CCACCTAGTACATGGTCACAGTGCCCCAGAATCACCTAGTACATGGTCACAGTGCCCCACAACCACCTAGTACATGGTCACAGTGCCCCAGAATCACCTAGTACATGGTCACAGTGCCCCAGAATCACCTAGTACATGGTCACAGTGCCCCAGAGCCACCTACTACATGGTCACAGTGCCCCAGAGCCATCTAGTGCATAGTCACAGTGCCCCAGAGTCACCTAGTGCATGGTCACAGTGCTCCAGAGCCATCTAGTGCATAGTCACAGTGCCCCAGAGTCACCTAGTACATGGTCACAGTGCCCCAGAGTCACCTAGTACATGGTCACAGTGCCCCAGAGCCATCTAGTGTATGGTCACAGTGCCCCAGAGCCATCTAGTGCATGGTCACAGTGCCTCAGAGCCATCTAGTGCATGGTCACAGTGTCCCAGAGCCATCTAGTGCATAGTCACAGTGTCCCAGAGCCATCTAGTACATGGTCACAGTGCCCCAGAGTCACCTAGTGCATGGTTACAGTGCCCCAGAGTCACCTAGTGCATGGTCACAGTGCCCCAGAGCCATCTAGTGCATGGTCACAGTGCCCCAGAGTCATCTAGTGCATGGTCACAGTGCCCCAGAGCCATCTAGTGCATGGTCACAGTGCCTCAGAGCCATCTAGTGCATGGTCACAGTGCCTCAGAGCCACCCCATGCATGAATGTAGTACCCTTGGCCACTGCACAGGGAATATGGACAGGAAAGAAAGGACATATGCTTGTAAAGGGGCAATGGGGGAAAGGTCTAACTTTATGATATGATATATGTAGAACATATAAAAGATTGAGCTTAGCAATATTAGAATTAATTAGTTCAGTTAGTGTGAAAATCACATTTCTTACTTGCCAGCCATAACAAGCTAAAAATATAGTGAAAAATGACAAAAATGATGAGATGCCTTGGAGCAAAGCTAACGGTGTACATGGGAAGACTGTTAGTGCACACCAAAAAGTACTGTGAATTAGAGGGCTTGTCTCAATATTATGAAGAGGCCATATCTCAAGATTAGCTCATGACTATGCAGACCCAGCACAATCTGAGACTTTATTTCCCCTCTTCAAAGCTCAAAAGTGATCATTTTGAAGTTTATATTGAAAAATAAACCTGTGAGACTAGCTGAGCTTTTTCTGAAGAGAGGGTGACTTTTTGCATCCAATTTAACAGTGAAGGAATAGACACAGGGTGGAACACAGCCAGGCCCTAGATTTGGCCGGTCTCCTAGGAAAGCTTAGGGGATCTAGGACTTGGTTATCTGCAGGATATGCAGGCCGATGTACAGCTGTGTTTGAAACTCTTACCTTTTACAGTAAAGGTTGTTTGGCTTGTGAAGAGAATGGACAGGACCCCTGCAGTCAAAGTTCCCCAGAGGGTGGAATGAAAGGTCTTTTAGGGCTGGAGTTTGCAAAAATGTGCCACTGTGGAGAACATTGCATCATGAGGGCATGCAGTAACGAAAGGGACCTTTCCAGGCTGCAAACCCCTAGAGCGCTCCTTCTGCCCTGTGCCATGGAAGGCCCATGTCCACACTGACTGTGCTGGGGCTGGGGAGGGGCTTTCTGAGAGAGAGAGAGAAAGAGAGAGAGAGAGAGAGAGAGAGAGAGAGAGAGAGACAGACAGACAGACAGACAGACAGACAGACAGACACGACCCCACCTCTCAGTTGGTGGTTTGTTTTCTGGACTCTCATCCAGTTATGACCAGATTTCTCAGACAGGCCCTTGTGTCTTCTGAATGTGGAGTTACACAGAGGTGGGTGTGAACCTCCATGTCTAGTATCCGTAGAAAAGATGCATTCCTACCTAAATGAGGTGGGGTAGAGGAAAGGCCCAGCAGTTGGATCCTAGCCTCATGCCAGAAAGAACTGGTCAATAATGTGAGGCAACTCTGAGTTCAAGTCTCATTTATTATAAAGAAGTATAAGGACCTGGTAGAGGACTTGCCCAGTGTGCACGAGGCCCCGGGTTCCATTCCCAACACTGAGAAAACAAACAAACAAACAAACAAACAAACAAACAAAGATACTATCATGAAAGCATCTCACAGGGAGCCAAATGGGAGTGGAAGTGGGCAAGGCCAGCCAGGTGAGAGGACTGTGGTCACTGACTGTCAGTATCTGCTGACTGGACTCCCCTGGCTCTCTACTTAGATCCTGGTATTCAGCAGGGTGTGGATTCAGACAGGAAGGAGCAGCAGCAGATGGCGCCCTCTAGTGTTACAGTTCTTGAGCTTAAAAGGAAGGGACGGGTATCTTGGTAGGCTTAGGAGCAGGAATGGGTGTTGCAGCTTGCTGGCTGCTGCAGCTCACAGCTCCACAGGCATCTCTGACTCTTCAGGAGTCATTGCCACCTCTGCCCCTTGGTCAAGAGCTCTGGTGGTTTCCACAGCCCAGCCTTGGCCTCTAGTTGTCTGTTGCATGCAGAGCAGCCCTGACTCCTTTCCTGCCAAGGCCTTGTTAGGAACATGGCTCCCCCTTTCCTGTTGCCTGGCCTGCTGGCTGCTCTCCACAGCTCCACCTCTGCTGCAGCTGTTACAGCGGTGGCTGCTCCACAGTCTGTTGTCCCTGCTGTTGTTTTCAGCTCAGCCTGCTCCACTAAAAATAAGCAAGGACGACACCTCGGGATAAGTGTTTTCCTTGGCCTAATATTGCAACCCTAGGGGATGCAGCCGAGGAGTCTTTTTGCAGATGATTCACTGTATGAGGGCATGTCTTAGTTAGGGTTTCTATTGCTGTGAAGAGACTCCATGACCACAGCAACTCTTATAAAGGAGAACATTTGTTTGGGGTGGCTTGTGTACAGTTCAGAAGTTTAGTCCATTATCGTCATGGGGGGAAGCAAGGCAGTATGCAGGCAGACATGGTGCTGGAGAAGGAGCTGAGAGTTCTTGCATCTTGATATGTTGTAGACTCCAGGAAGTGAACTGAGAAACTGGGTGTGGCTTGAGCATATATGAGACCTCAAAGCCTGCCTCCACAGTGACATACTTCCTTCAACAAGGTCATACCTACCCCAACAAAGCCACACCTCCTAATAGTGCCACTCTCTTTGGGGGCCATTTTCTTTCAAACCACCACAGGGGAGCAGTCTTTATGTCCAGAGGAAGGGCATTGCCACCACAAAGACAAACTTTTCATGCAAAGGAAGGTTTCTGTTTGCATCAGTCACAGTCACATTATTGTCCCTTTTAGCACCAGGCACAGCAGTCTCCACTGGGTCACCAGATGAAGAACTCCTACTCTGGCCTGGGAAAGTGGCTACTGAGTCATCAAGTGTTCACCCAGGCTTGTGACAACAGAAAATCCAGTGCAAACCGAGTCAGCTTGACGGGGCTGTGCCTTTAGGAGCTGGAGCAAGCAGCTGTGATGGGTGTGCAGTTTCTTCAGGGTGTCTGTAGAGTCTTCTGAATGGCTGGTGGTGGCATGAGAGTAGTCTCACTGGCCGTTCGTCCTCTTGTTTAAGGGAGCCAGGGCTCAACCTCGGCTAAGGAGGGAATCAGATCACTCCAGACCTCTTCGTTTATCTATAGGAAAATGGACATCGGAAACAAAGCTTGTATTGTGAACTTCTTACACTGTGATTTTAACAGTGTTGTACAATGCTCCACACCTGCCTGTGCCCCAGGGGGAGGTGGGTTTCCTTGTCTGTCTCAACCCAAGAACTTCTTCCCACCCAATGGGATGAGGGAAGCAGGCTCCTTGGTGTAAGAAGGGTTTCTGGGTGATGCTTCCTGACAGAGTGGCTCTCCCCTTGCATGCTGGGCATTGCCATGTGGGGTGTGCACTTCTCTGTGGCTTTTTCCCTTTTTCTTCTCAGAACTCTGTGTCTTCTCCCACACTTAGTAATGTAAAGCAGGAAGAAGAAAGCATAGCAGGCCCAGGAAAGATTTAAGCTATCCCATGTTCTTGCTCTTTAAATCAGTGGTGTGGCTCATGTGTGGTCACATGTAATCTGTCTGTGTGTGGTGGCGCACACATAATTCCAGGAGGCAGGAGCATCACAAGGCCAGCCTGGGCTGCAGAGAAGCACCCTGTTTCAAAAATGAAAGAAACATCAGCACCAAACCTCACTGTGTACTTTCCCTGGTTATTTTCCAGTGAGACACAACTGGGAGGCCATGACAGAAGCGATCCAGAACCACATCAGCTCCTTGAACTGGAGCTATAGGCTGACCCTTCGCGAGAAAGGCGTGGCCTATGTCAACTCCTATGGCGAGTTTGTCGAGCTGCATAAAATAAAGGTACTGCCTGGATTCGCCAGGTTCTTTGTCTTCCATTACTATCTACTTGGCCTTGCGCAGAAAGTCAAATTCCATGTTGCACATTAAGGACTGCAGCTGGCCTGTCACACACACAACATGTGGCCTCACATATGTGCTTTTCACACCACTGCTTGTTGATTACATGTCAAGATAAACTGTAGCATGTGCATTTTAAAGAACATTTAAAGATATGGTTTGCCTTTCATCTCATTGTTATTCAAAATATTTAAACAGCTCAAAGTACAAAAGACTAAAAGTAAATACTTCAGCAGTGGGGAGCTTTTAGAAAATGAAAATGTAACCTGCAGTCTGCAGTGTCCAATAAAGGCTACTTTACATGGTTCCATATGTGATGTTTAGATAGTATTGGATCTCTGTAAAGAAACGAGGTCATTTGGATGACCACAGAAATTTTGAATTGGAGTTAGGAGAAAACATCAGCCACTGCCCTCCGTGGATCCCTGTGCGATTGGCATCACCCTCGACATCTGGACAGTTTTGTACTTTTCTTTGCAAACACAGCATGAGGTAATCTTGACAGGATCTTAGGTTCTTTTGTAGTCAGTTGTTAGACCAGTGGAGACGGGTGCGGGCTGGTCAACTTGAAATTGCCCCTCCAGACCTTCCAAACTCTGTAGCAGCCTGAGGGAGTTTTTTTCTCCGACTGTCCAAGGCCTGGCAGATGGTCCAGTTGCCCTGCCCCACCTAGCCTCCTCTGGGGACGTCCTCGCCCCCACGGCTCAAGCTCAGAGCCTCTCCCCTCCCACTCCCCCTCTCACCTCACTGTCCTAAGGAGCCGCTGACTCGAGGTGTCGCCTGCCACCTGGTTGTGTCATCCGCTTGTTTAAACGCCATCGTTGGCATTGGAACTTCTTACCTGGAAATGTCTTTTGACTTATTCATGCACTCACAAATAACCAGTTACTCTTGCTGGCTCTCCTTAGCTGAAGATCTGTGGCATGGTAGGTGAGGGCCTTCATTTTTAGCTCCAACCTTCCTTCCAGGCTTACACTTCTAGGTCATTCAGGGCAGGGATACAAGCAGAGCAGAGGCAGGAACCATGGAAGAAAGCTGCTTACTGGTTTGCTCCCGACTCGTGGTCAGATGGCTTTCTTATACAGCCTGCCCAGGATGGTACTGCCTTCCCACATCAGTTATCAGACAAGAAAACTCAGTGTGGACTTACTCACACCAGTCTGATAGAGGCAATTCCTCAGTACTCTTCCTGTCTCCCGGCCTTCTGTGAAGCCCTCCTAAACTGGCTTTGTAGTCTGCCACCCCAGCCCCAGAGTGAGGCTGTGGCCACTGTGCTGTGTCGACTTGAGCCGTCTGTGTGGGGCCGGTCACATGGCACTGCTGACTTCTGCATCCCCGTCCCTCCTGTGGAATGAGAGGCTGCGAGGGTGGTGATGGGATTGCTAAGATTTATTTTCCTTCATTTCAAGGCTACCAATAAGAAAGGACAGGAAACATTGTACACTGCTTCCAAGTTTGTCATAGCAACAGGTGAAAGGCCACGGTACTTGGGAATCCAAGGAGATAAGGAATACTGTATTACAAGGTAAGAGTAAATAGACCATTTCAACCTTACTGCATTGTGTGCATTAATGTTCCCATTTTATATGCTCCTTGTCTTACTTCACAAAGGATTTGAATTCATGACAAGTAGACACAGCACAGGAAGCTTCAGGTAACATAATAAAGCAGAGATGTAAGGTCAGGCAGGTAGCAGGGTCACTGCTAGAACCCACGCAGAAGCCGTACTGTTTCTAGGTAACTGCCGGAAGAGGCCAAAGCAAAGACTGACTAGCTGCGAGGTTGCATGGCCCAGGGTAGAGATGAGCTAGCTGGTCTGGGGCAGCACTGCTCTTCCTGTGCTGCAGACCCACTCCAGTGTTCCCCAGCTGTCAGTAGGAGACCGTGACACAGCAGGGCCTTCAGACTGTGGAGCAGATGTGTTGAGAAAATACATTTTCATCACACTGTTGTTTGGTTAGACACACATCCACACACACTGCACATAACCATACACACTAGACATACCTCATCCACTGTACACATCCATACACAGACTGCACATACCAAGCACACACATATAACACACATCTCATGCACCGTACACATCTGCACACACCACACATACCATACTACACATATCTTATACACAGTATATATTACACATACCACACATTATACATATCTCATATACCTTACACATCCATGCATACCACATACCACACACCACACATACATATATCTCATACACTCTATACATCAGCTCATACCACATACCACATATACCATACACACGATAAACACTTATACATATACACTGTACACATCCATACATACCACATACCACACTTATCAACCAACACACCACATATACCATATGTACTACACATATCTTATACACTATACACATCCACACATACCACTCACCACACATACTGCACATCTCATACATCATGCACATCTGCACATACCCCATACTACACATATCTCATACACCACATACCACACACTATGCATTTCTCAAATACCATGTACATTCACACACACACACACACACACACACACACACACACACACACACACACACCACATACCTCATATACTGTTCACATAATACACAGTGCCCCTGAAAAACAAAATATTTTCCTTTCTATTTTATTATTATTATTTTATTTATTTATTTAGGTGTTTTTTGTTTTTTTGTTTTTGTTTTTTTTTTTTTTTTTTTGAGACAGGGTTTCTCTGTATAACAGCCTTAGCTATCCTGGAACTCACTCTGTAGACCAGACTGGCCTTGAACTCATAGAGAACCACCTGCCTCTGCCTCCTGAGTGCTGGGATTAAAGGTGTGTGTCATCACACCTGGCCCTATTTTATTTTTTAAATTAATTTACTTAACCACTTACGTTAATTCATTTAACCACTGGGCCATCTCTTCAGGCCCTCTGTTTCATTTTTTTAAGTAATTAGCTTGTCATCTCACTTGATTTTGAATGTACTGACCCATGTCTTCTCCACATCCTTTCAAATAGACCTGACTAGAAACTTCTAGAAGCTGTTGTGTTTTTTTGGTGTCTCCACTTAGGCACTGAATCGCCTTTCCAACAACAGATCAGCACACACTGAAGCCCATTTTGTAATTTCCACCTGCACTCTGTTTCTCTTGTCTCTTTCAGTGACGACCTTTTCTCCCTGCGGTACTGCCCTGGCCGTACACTAGTTGTAGGCGCCTCGTATGTTGGTCTGGAGTGTGCAGGGTTTCTGGCTGGCTTGGGATTAGACGTGACAGTTATGGTACGCTCTGTCCTCCTTCGTGGCTTTGATCAAGAAATGGCAGAGAAAGTGGGATCCTACCTGGAACAACACGGCGTCAAGTTCCAAAGGAAATTCACCCCTGTTTCGGCAAGTCTGGGCAGCTTGAACTCTTTTGCTGTCTTTTTTATCTTTTAAAAATTTTGCCCCTTTTCATTTCATCAAATAAATTAGTCTGCATGCACTCACACAGTGCTGAAGGTGACATGTTTATCCCAGGTCTGCATGCACTCACACAGTGCTGAAGGTGACATGTTTATCCCAGGTCTGCATGCACTCACAGTGCTGAAGGTGACATGTTTACCCCAGGTCTGCATGCACTCACACAGTGCTGAAGGTGACATGTTTACCCAGGTCTGCATACACTCACAGTGCTGAAGGTGACATGTTTACCCCATGTCTGCATGCACTCACAGTGCTGAAGGTGACATGTTTGCCCCAGGTCTGCATGCATTCACAGTGCTGAAGGTGACATGTTAACCCCAGGTCTGCATGCACTCACAGTGCTGAAGGTGACATGTTTACCCAAGTCTGCATGCACTCACACAGTGCTGAAGGTGACATGTTTACCCCAGGTCTGCATGCACTCACACAGTGCTGAAGGTCACATATTTACCCCAGGTCTGCATACACTCACAGTGCTGAAGGTGACATGTTTACCCAGGTCTGCATGCACTTACAGTGCTGAAGGTGACATGTTTACCCAGGTCTGCATGCACTTACAGTGCTGAAGGTGACATGTTTACCCCAGGTCTGCACACACACACACCCTGAGTCTCCCTTCTTTCTTTCTACGTTTTTAAGGCTGTGACATCTTCAGTCTCCTGTCTTCTCATCAGCTTTCATCCTCAGACAAAGCGGTTCTGTGTGCCTTTTGACTGGCTCCCTACATTCCTTTTCCTCTAAAAACACTCTCTGCACACTACCTCTCATTTGTTGCCTGTTTCACACCCGTTTTTCACTTCTTTAAAGCTGCTTTTCAGAAGCCCAGTGGTCACATCTGTGTCCGCCATTGCAGGTCTCTCTGCTGTGCACAGTGACACGTCTCCTCTGCCAAGCGCTTGCTGCTCTGGCTGATGCAGCCCCAGCCTGTGCCTTCCTGTCCAGTCTGCTCAGCCAGCGTCCGATGCTGGTGTCTGCATCTCTTCACTATCCTATATGTTTTATGAATGATCCTCTGGGACCAGGAGCTTTAAGTCCGATGTGAGTGCTCAGGGCACTCATCTCTCCTGAACCCCACGCTCATTCAGAAAAGCCTATGGACAGCCCTGCTTGAGTCCTCATGAGCACTTCAGATTTAACAAGATGACATTTAAGTACTGTATTTCCCACTTAGACTCCTGCTAATCTTTCTGACCCACCCAGTAAGTGGAACCACTTAATAAGCCAACACCTGGAGCCCCCCTGTTCCTTTATTTTTTTTTGGTCTACAGTCTCAGTGAATCCTTGATAAATCTTGGTAAAACTGCAAAATGTAGACCATGGGTGTTTTCTTTCTCTGCTTAGTACAGAGATCTCTAGTGTGCTCAAACACACATGTGATCATCACCCTGCAAACACACCCACACACGAGTATCCTTTGGTTAGTTTGTTCTCTGCTGTGTTAGAGCCAGTACCTCATGTGTCCTTACAGGTTCAACAAGTGGAGAAAGGCTCACCTGGAAAACTGAAAGTTGTGGCTAAGTCCACTGAAGGACCGGAAACAGTTGAAGAAATATACAACACGGTGAGTGTATGTGGTGAGCATTCTTGTAAATGAGCAGAGGCAAGGTGTTGGGAAATAATGCAAGGTTTAATGTTTCCAGTTCTTTGTAAGAAGAGGTGGCAACTGTGAGCAGGGGCTGCCACCACACTCATGTTCAGTGCTGTGTAAAGAATTCTGTGGTGAAGTGTATACACGTGGGACTGTCCACAGAAAGCTCTGGAAGTCGACATCCAAATCCCATCGGTCTCTTTTTCTGGAGCATCAGATATTTCATACATAAGTTTACTTGGAAATTTTTCTGGTAAATATCAAATGTATTTTATAAACAAATAAATCAAGCTTTCCTTTTCAAAGACAAACAGTCCCCCAATCTTGAACCAGAGTGAAGGACCTGACAGGCTGAAGTGCCAGAGGGTCTCTCAGTTACAGTTTTAGTGGAAGCTGTACACTTGCTATGTACTCTATTTGTGTGCATTATAGAAATATCTAAAAACTAAACATGAGTGTGCGGAGGACCAGGCAAACTAAAATTGCATAACCAAGCCAGAAGACCAACCTTCAACTGTTGAGGCTTTGATTAGGCTCACGTGGTGTGTACAGATGGTGGCTATTTGCTGTGTTTAGTGGTCCAGGAACATAATCATTCCAAGTGCTGAGATCTCAGTGGCTCCAGCAGGGGTCACCCAGGCCTCTAGGAGATGGATTCATCCCTGGGTGCTTATGTGTTACATGGTCACAGGTG